GAAAAACGCGGTTTTGTATATCTTATTGACCGATACTGTAATTTGAAGCACTTCAAAATGCTATTCTTCTGTGAGACAATTGAGAGACGTAAAATCGGACAGAGAAAACAATTTGTAACTATTCATCCAAAGGAGGATGCCATTTCCAATTATCAAGTAAGCTATAATTTCCTTCATTCATAGCTAAGGAAATTTTTTTTAGAATGACGCGGATTTGCTTGATATCAAGGCCTACCTTCTGGAAAACACTAAGGTAACTTTATGCTCTAATAGAAGCCCACCATATACGAACACATTGAGCTTAACTATCTTGGCTCCTTCGCAAGATATCAAAAATTGGTCAATTGATAAATTGTTTTCCGTAAAATTACCAACATTTTATTAGTTGACGACTCTCTGATATCTTTTGAAATGATCGAGATAATTGAGCTCAAAGTGCAGTTGAGATCCTTTTAGAGAACTTACGTTACCAGTTTTGTAAAATTACAATAAGTTTAGGTCCAAAAACTAACACTTTTCATCGCGAGATTCTTTGTCAACAGTATTAATGAAATACGGCATGGATCCGATAAAATGATGCCACACACTTATAGACTTCACAATGAAGAAGTAAGTTTCACGACCTCTACAAAATCGCAATTTGTGTTTCTAGGTCAACGAGCACGGAACAAATTTTCTGATCAGGAATCAAGCTAATTTGGTTGGTCGGAGAAACCTTTAAAAAAAACAGGATTTTTGTTTCAGACGGTCCAAAGTAATGGCAACAGACCTTTTGGCAGGACAATGTTCACATTCACCGAAGTGTACTGTTGCGAATGGATCACATTTGTGAGTGTGGTGGGACGTGTATCTCGACGTCAGATTTGTTGCGTCGTCGTCGGAATTATTGTTCTCGTTGCTCTTATTGTCTTGGTTGTTTATCTAGTTCAGGAGTATCTGAAATATTCATATCACCAGATTGGCAAAAAATGATTTTTTTTTTAAATAGTTGATCAATTGATCTATGTTAGATCCACAAGAAAATAAATGTTTTTGAATAATCTACATATCAGTATTAATGACAAGATAAATTTTCCAGGATCCTCAAAATTTATGATGTCACCATTTTCCGTCTGTTCTACTGCATTAACAGAAATGTTTTCATTTTCACTTTTATGATCTTCGAAAAACTTCAAACCCGTAATTTTACTACCGTAACCCATTTAATTGTTTTTGTGCCCTCATGCTCTTTTTCGAATGGCCACTTTCCTAATGAAGTTTCTATTTTACGAGAAATAATCTGTTGATGTTTGATTCACTTTCCTTAATTATGTATCACAAAAGTTCCAATTTTTCCGTCAGCAATGAAGATTATTGCACTTTTTAACCTCGATAACCTTCACCGTTTTCGAGTGATCAGGAAAAATGCCGATTTTTGAAACATAAGAAAGTTTGAATTTTGCTTTTATGATTTGATAAAATTGATGTTTAAACTTTCAGAAAGTTCGGGGAATTGATCATCGAAGTTTGTATTAGGTTGATAAGAAAGTTTCTTTCTTCTTTGGCATAATTTTTGATCCGATTTTCCTTAAAGCGGAGGGGCAAGATCAATGAAAACAACGTCCGTGAACATCGATAGTTGTCTGGCAACGCTCTGGTAATTTCTTGATTCCGTCAGCCTAGAACGAAGAGGGCTGAGATTGGAAAAGTGGACCAACTCCATTTTTGTGTCATCTTTTCAATTGGAGTCTTTTCTATCAAGATGACGATAAAGAGCCTTAAACAATCATCTGAAAGAAAAAGGTCCGGAAAATACGACGGGTGCAAAAGAATAGCTCAGCCAAACGACATGAATTTTTGGCTGACCTCTGTAGTCACGGGCCATCTCGCAATGTCGTGCTGGAAGCTAACATCTTTTTTTCCTCGTTTTGATTTGACTGCCAGATTCGATTTCTCAAACTTGGAACTATACAAGGAGGCAGTTTCAAAGGTACCTTCATCTAAAACTTCCCTGTCTCCATTACTTTGACCGACCATCAAACTCATAGCATCCCCATTTTCACGGGAAATTTAGGTTCCGGAACGTCCAGAGCTAGCTCTTCTTTGTCAATCGACTGACCATTCCACACATTGATAGACTAACTTACCCACTTATCATCTACGGTAATTAGATCAATCATCCAACTGAACGTGCAAAGAAATGATAGGAGAAACATGCTCATATCTACTTGGCGATTCATATCGTAGTCCTCAAAAACATGGGGTTCGAATCGACACAGTTTTCTACTTTACCAAGAGACTTCAATCCGTTCACAAAACTTGGTTGATTAAAGGACAAGGTCTGTGACATTTTACGAATGGTTTGAAATGGATCCACCTCCTCGCCTTTTGGCAATTGATGAAGATCCGACTCACTAGGCCGTTGGCATCTTTCAAGGTGAACTATGTTGTTTGGAATTTCTCGAGAAAAAATCAAATTGTAGGCGATGATAGAACATGTCCCTTGTATACATTCACCATTTGTATGCAAATACCAGGTGTTTGAAGACCAAATAAATATAAAAATATAATCATGTTTCCAATGTGCATTCAGATAAGGACCAAAAGAATCGTCATTCCTCCAACACGAAGAGAGATAAAAATTGGAAAATTTAGGATCTAATAGAGACTGAACACAGCTCTCTAATAAAAAAAACTTGGCCCGCTGAACCACTTGGAGGACGAGATATCGATCCTCAAAAACAAGAATGCCATAAAGAAAGAAACTTTCTTATCAACCTAATAGTTGGCAACACAAAACATGGCGTCTGAAATAACAGAAAATTTCAGAATTTCAGAACATCAGATTTACAGAATTTCAGCCTTTCCGGATTTTTAGAAATTCAGAATCTCAGGTTTACAGAATTTCAGCATTTCCGGATTTTTAGAATTTCAAAATCTCAAATTACGACCTATCAAGTATTCAGAATTTTAGAAGTTCAGAATTTCAAAATCTCAGAATCTTAGAATCTCAGAATCTCAGAATCTCAGAATCTTTGAATCTCAGAATCTCAGAATCTCAGAATTTCAGGATCTCAGAATCTCAGAATCTCAGAATCTCAGAATCTCAGAATTTCAGAATTTCAGAAACTCAGAATATTATAATCTCAGAATCTCGGAATCTCGGAATTTCAGAATCTCAAAATTTCAGAATCTCAGAATCTCAGAATCTCAGAATCTCAGAATCTCAGAATCTTTGAATCTCAGAATCTCAGAATCTCAGAATTTCAGAATCTCAGAATCTCAGAATTTCAGAATTTCAGAATCTCAGAATATTATAATCTCAGAATCTCGGAATTTCGGAATCTCGGAATTTCAGAATCTCAGAATTTTAGAATCTCAGAATCTCGGAATTTCAGAATCTCGGAATTTCAGAATCTCAGAATCTCAGAATCTCAGAATTTCAGAATCTCAGAATCTCGGAATTTCAGAATCTCAGAATTTCAGAATCTTTGAATCTTTGAATCTCAGAATCTCAGAATCTTTGAATCTCAGAATCTCAGAATTTCAGTATCTCAGAATCTCAGAATCTCAGAATCTCAGAATCTCAGAATTTCAGAATTTCAGAATCTCAGAATATTATAATCTCAGAATCTCGGAATTTCAGAATCTCGGAATTTCAGAATCTCAGAATCTCAGAATCTCAGAATTTCAGAATCTCAGAATCTCGGAATTTCAGAATCTCAGAATTTTAGAATCTCAGAATCTCAGAATCTCAGAATTTCAGAATTTCAGAATCTTTGAATCTTTGAATCTCAGAATCTCAGAATCTTTGAATCTCAGAATCTCAGAATTTCAGTATCTCAGAATCTCAGAATCTCAGAATCTCAGAATCTCAGAATTTAAGAATTTCAGAATTTCAGAATCTCAGAATATTATAATCTCAGAATCTCGGAATCTCGGAATTTCAGAATTTCAGAATCTCAGAATTTCAGAATCTCAGAATCTCAGAATCTCAGAATCTCAGAATCTCAGAATCTCGGAATTTCAGAATCTCAGAATTTCAGAATCTTTGAATCTTTGAATCTCAGAATCTCAGAATCTTTGAATCTCAGAATCTCAGAATTTCAGTATCTCAGAATCTCAGAATCTCAGAATCTCAGAATCTCAGAATCTCAGAATCTCGGAATTTCAGAATCTCAGAATTTTAGAATCTCAGAATCTCGGAATTTCAGAATCTCGGAATTTCAGAATCTCAGAATCTCAGAATCTCAGAATTTCAGAATCTCACAATCTCGGAATTTCAGAATCTCAGAATTTTAGAATCTCAGAATCTCAGAATCTCAGAATTTAAGAATTTCAGAATTTCAGAATCTCAGAATGTTATAATCTCAGAATCTCAGAATCTCGGAATTTCAGAATCTCAGAATTTTAGAATCTCAGAATCTCGGAATTTCAGAATCTCGGAATTTCAGAATCTCAGGATCTGAGAATCTCAGAATTTCAGAATCTCAGAATCTCGGAATTTCAGAATCTCAGAATTTCAGAATCTCAGAATCTCAGAATCTCAGAATCTCAGAATTTCAGAATCTCAGAATCTCGGAATTTCAGAATCTCAGAATTTCAGAATCTTTGAATCTTTGAATCTCAGAATCTCAGAATCTTTGAATCTCAGAATCTCAGAATTTCAGTATCTCAGAATCTCAGAATCTCAGAATCTCAGAATCTCAGAATTTCAGAATTTCAGAATCTCAGAATATTATAATCTCAGAATCTCGGAATTTCAGAATCTCGGAATTTCAGAATCTCAGAATCTCAGAATCTCAGAATTTCAGAATCTCAGAATCTCGGAATTTCAGAATCTCAGAATTTTAGAATCTCAGAATCTCAGAATCTCAGAATTTCAGAATTTCAGAATCTTTGAATCTTTGAATCTCAGAATCTCAGAATCTTTGAATCTCAGAATCTCAGAATTTCAGTATCTCAGAATCTCAGAATCTCAGAATCTCAGAATTTAAGAATTTCAGAATTTCAGAATCTCAGAATATTATAATCTCAGAATCTCGGAATCTCGGAATTTCAGAATTTCAGAATCTCAGAATTTCAGAATCTCAGAATCTCAGAATCTCAGAATCTCAGAATCTCAGAATCTCGGAATTTCAGAATCTCAGAATTTCAGAATCTTTGAATCTTTGAATCTCAGAATCTCAGAATCTTTGAATCTCAGAATCTCAGAATTTCAGTATCTCAGAATCTCAGAATCTCAGAATCTCAGAATCTCAGAATCTCAGAATCTCAGAATCTCGGAATTTCAGAATCTCAGAATTTTAGAATCTCAGAAACTCGGAATTTCAGAATCTCGGAATTTCAGAATCTCAGAATTTCAGAATCTTTGAATCTTTGAATCTCAGAATCTCAGAATCTTTGAATCTCAGAATCTCAGAATTTCAGTATCTCAGAATCTCAGAATCTCAGAATCTCAGAATCTCAGAATCTCAGAATCTCGGAATTTCAGAATCTCAGAATTTTAGAATCTCAGAATCTCGGAATTTCAGAATCTCGGAATTTCAGAATCTCAGAATCTCAGAATCTCAGAATTTCAGAATCTCACAATCTCGGAATTC